GAATGAAAAGTAGGTCCATTTGGGAACAATAATCTGTGATCCAAATGCAAAAGAATAGTTCATGATAACAGAGGTTAGAAAAATGACACTAACACTCAAAAAAAGGTTTCTACCTGATCTAACTAACTTGAAAAATTGAAAGAAAGGAAGGAGGGGGAGCAGAAAGATGAAAAGAAAACGATGAAAAGTAAAGTCAGTTATTTGATACAGGGGAACTTTATCACATATAGGTAGTCACATATTATACATTAACACTCAAAAAAAGGTTTCTACCTGATCTAACTTGAAAAATTGAAAGAAAGGAAGGAGGGGAAGAGGAAAGATGAAAAGAAAACAATGAAAAGTAAAGTCAGTTATTTGATACAAGGGAACTTTATCACATATAGGTAGTCACATATTATACAACTTTATAATATTATTAAAAAATTGAGAAGGTAATCGGTGACACAAAAATCCCACATTAATTCAGGATGACAATAATGTTAGGTGAAGGACCAGTACTCCATTTAAATTATGTTTAAAGTCTTGCTTAAAAGAAGGTATATCCAAATTATTTATGCTCAAATGATGTTGCAGTATCTTACTGACAATATTGCTTTTCTAAATTGGTTGATTGACTTGAGTGTATTTTAAGAGAAGATTTTTAATACTAAGGAAAATCTGGTTTTCTCTATAAATTATTTAAGAGAAGTCTCTGCTCAATACATGTAAACATTTCCTTTAAAATACTCATTCTGTCAGGGGGATCACCTTGTAAGTTATATAAATAGTCTAACCACTATGCTATACATCTAAAACTAATATAATATTGATTGTCAACGGTTATTTTAAAAAAGTTTTTAAAATTAAAAATAATTGCTGTAAAAATAAATAAAATACTCAGAATGAATGTTTCTTCTTTTATCTAGGAAACAGACAAGACTGGATTCATAGTTATCTGCAACAAAAGGCAGTCAAAAATAATAAAGTGGATGTAGACTGTTTTCAAATCACCTCTATATTCCATATTTTCAAACATCCATCAAGATCTCCTGTGGCGAGGTATCGATTCAGTTTATCAGTAGCCATAATAATAGATCCAACTCCACGATGAGCCAAAAATTCAGCCAGAAGTTGTTTCTTAAATGTATCCCAGAGTCTGACATACCCAGATCCTCCACATGACACCAAGTTAGCACCTCCTGACAGGAAAAGAATCACCTAGTTAGGAAGCTGTGGCAATGATTACAGAAACAACTTCAGTGGCTTGCCCTGTGAAAGCATAGCATGTTGTAGAGGTGGGTAGCCCTGAGATCAATTCCCAGCACTTTAATTCTCTCAAATATAAAATTGAGATAACCCTATGATAACCTCACTGGGGTATGTTGAATATTAAATGAAATAAGGTATATAAGATGCTCCATTAAATTTAGTTTCCTTTCCCTCATTCATTATTTTGATATTATTTGGGTTTTTAAAATTTACACAGAATTAATTTATTCCTTCAAATAAACTTATAAGACATTAATTGCAACTTGATGATAATATGATTACATAAAACCCAACTTTCTTAATAACGTATTGGACACAAATACCAAAGAAGTAAAGCTCCTTATGCAGAGATCTGGCTGCATATATGTAGCAACAGCAGCATGATCATTGATTTCTCTGTATAGTAGCATGCTTAGAATCCTATTTATGAGCTTATTTTTACATTTTTAATCAAGAATTTATTGTACGCTCTTATGAGACACTTTTTTGGTTCATAGGCCTAGAACTAACCTTTCATTTTCCATTTGTATATGCTTTGTAGAAGCACTTTATCTAAATTATTCTTCTGTGGCAAAGTTTCTATTATTATTTGATAAATCTGTAGATGACTTTCAATTTGCTTCACCAATGTACTGCCGATGAACAATCATATCTGCTTAAAGTAGAAATAATAGCGTGTAGCTGCTTCAGTGGAAACAATTTAGGAGCACTGATAACATTAAGAAGAATTAGTCTGGAGAGCAATTTCAGGATAATAGTTCATATTGTGAGTATAAGTGAGTTCCAGAAAATAGAAAGTTTTAGAATATGTTTCAAAATCTACTCTAAATATTCCAGTGCTTCTAAAGCTTTATAGGATTATAACTGTCAATTTTAATGTTGAAAAATTTTATATGAAAATCATGCAGATTTTCTACTTATAAATTAAATATGAAAAAATGAATAGAGATAACATAGTGCAGCCCAGGCAATGTGGCTCAGTGGTTGAGAGTTGACCTATGAACCAGAGGTCATGGTTTGATTCCTGGTCAGGGTTTGATTGCGGGCCCAGTGTGGGGCATGCAGGAGGCAGCCAATGGATGATTCTCTCATCATGGATGTTTGTATTTCTCTCTCACTCTCCCTTCCTCTCTGATATATATATATATTTAAAAGAAAACATGGTTCAGATATGTTGTTTTAAACATAAACACATATATGTCTAGATTCCTAACGTTAAGAAAAAGCACTTTTAACATATATATATTTTAGATAAAAAGTAAAAAATATGCATTATTCTCAAAAGGAGATTTTTATTTTGGGTAAACACAGGCTGAATTAGCACTAAGATAACATAGCCATTGAACACAGAGGAGAAATTAAGAAAATGTGTATTTCATCTGTATTCTATTAAATAACTACAGTAAATCATGTGGCAGCACCAGTGTTGGCATACCTCTCAGCAGAAGCTCTAACCAGGACCCTGATGCACAGCTGGTAAAGATACCCAAAGTGTAAGTTCCTCTCCAAATTATTAAGACACAAGGCAGGCAGTTATTTTAAATTTTGCTATTGCCTCCAATCTCCAAGTCTCTCACTATTTGCTCCCAGCCCATCTGAACCAGGTGCCAGTGCTGTCCCACGTTCTGCTGCATGTAGACCTACGCTCACCTCACATAGAGCATTTTTCTTCTTTTTAATTTTTTGAAATTAAATTTATAGGGCTGGCATTGGTTAATAAGATTGTATAGGTGTCAAGTGTACAATTCTATGGTGTGTCATCTGATATTGCATATTTGTCACTGTGCCCTCTGCCCTACCAAACCTCTTTATGTCGTGGCTGGAACACCAGTTCTGATTGTTGCCCATAGTAAGTAGCTTGCCTGAGTTTTTCTCACTCTGATTCTGGTGTATGCAATAGTGCATATATTACTGATGGCGTCTAGTCTAGCTCCTATTCTTGGACCCATCCTCCTGAATACTAACTTCATTCGCAGTCAAGGCCTCCCATGACCCAGTACTGACTGTCAGCTAGACACAGTGGAACTCTACAATGCTTAGATACAATTATATTGAATTCTCTTTATTGCACCTTTGCCAACATTTTACAATATATCAAAGCACTCTGCAGTCAAAATATAAGTATACAGTTTACCTGTCGCTGCAGTGTTTTTTCTTGCTTCAAGGAAGCAAAGCCTCATCACAGCGTTATCGCACTCGGTGCCAGTCTCATAGGAGCTGGCTCCCAGGGTAGCCTGCTCTGCTGTGGGGCGGCTGGAGCAGCTCCTCCCAGCACTCAGGAGCTTTTGAGGCTCTATATGTGTGATAGAAACAAATCCAGGTGTCTTAATAAACAGAAACATCTGCTTTTCAAACAAATGCTTATAAACAACAACAGGCCCACTTCATCACAGGCTCAGATGACCCCATCAAGTCTCAGAATAGGTTTCCACTCAATATCCATCAGCCTTCTGCTATTCACTTTCTCAAGCCCAACTTGAAGGACTGTTTGATTGCCTTTTTGTTTGCATATTCTATACACACTTACAGAGTTTTCCCTTGATATGAATTCATAAGTACTTCATTTTAGAGTCACATCTTAGAGATCTTGATATATTCAAGACAAATGTGATTCTATTATCATAGCATTTGCAGCTTATTAATCATGAATATTAACCTTGCAAATAATTTAATAAAGATGAGACATAATAACTATTTAAATATATTTAAACAATCATTTTAGCAATATTATTTATTAGTGAGTTACCTTGGAAAGGACATTCCTAATGGGATTTTGATTATTTCATGACACTATCTCCAATCTACACTAATAAAAACTAGGGATATTCATCTTAGGATGTATGAATAGTCTGCACACAGTTATGAAAAATCTATACAGAAGTATCTTCAAATTTTTAAGGCAAGAAATCTATAGCAATGCCTCTCGTGGATTTTAGAAACTTGATGCTATTTGCTTTCCCTTCTTTCATACCTCTATGCTTTAATTGTAGCCACAGTTAGGTTTTCCATGAGACCAAGATGGTGCTCCCCTGAAGGCCAATATAGAGGAAGAGGCAGAATTCCATCCTCTCCATGGAGGGTTCAGATGAGCCCTAATACTTAGCTCCTTGTACATAAAGCAGGTCAGAATTTGGGACCTGCAGGCTAGTAAGTCCTAAATCTCTTAACTATGTTTCTTTATTCTGATCAAATCAGTCCCTCAACTTTTCACACACAAAAACAAAAAACAAAAACTATATCTAATGATCAGTCTTTTCCTAAGGTCCAATTCAAGCCTTTGTGAGTTTATCCAATTGAGACAAGAGAACCGTGCTGGGCCATGAGAAATTACATATTCATTACTCAAATAAATTAGTCTAAGAAAAAATCTTTAGTATCTAACAAAACTAAAATAAAATGTGAAAGGCAATTGTCAGGACATTTTGCTCAAGTATAAATAAAATATTCATGTGCTCTGCTAAATTCCCATAAAATACAATATACTCCCATCTAACGCTCCCACAGTTTCTAAAACAAGAAATAATTTAAGATTTCCAGGTGGCATAATATTTAAAACAAGCTCTAGACTGAGCCTGAACAGCCAATCAAGTGCACATGAGTTCCCATTTTCTTACCAAGGGGTACCCAAGGTTCACTCAAAGGCAATTTGGTGAAGTTTATTGGCAACAACTAAACTAGATAGAAATGAGAGTCTGCTCCCCGCTGTCAGTAATTCAGAAGCACTGATATAGTATATGGAGAAAAAAATGTCATGCCAAGGAGAATTTGCTAAGCCAAGTAAATCTCAAGAATTTTTTAAAGTCACTTCGACAAGACAACAATATCACTAATCCCTTGCGCTTATAGCCAATCATCTATAATTTAGGAGCAAGCTGCAACAGTACATATATAAACAACCAGGCCTGCTGTGGCCTGACTCAGCCACATTATTTTAGTTTCAATCTTGCACTCACCTGATTTTGATTGTAGCAGCCTCTGGTAATCGGGATGAAGGACATAGTGAGCATTTCCTGTGCTGTTGTTCCACAGAACAATTTCTCCATCATAACTCCCTATATGAGCCAGCATGGAGAACATAAATTGCCAGAAAGTTAGAGGAGTATGAGCAACAGCAATGAGGAGAAGTCATTAGTATAAGATCTTACATGGAATCTGTCACATAGTAGGTACTCTATATATTTTTGGAGACAAGTGAATAATACAATTAGTATTTTTATTAAAATTTAGAACTTACAATCTTTAAAACATATGTATGCATTACATATGATAAAAATTACTCTATCTTTTTATTTTATAGAATAAGGGCTTTGCAATTAAACACCTTGAGTTTGAGTCCTCGTTCTGCCACCTACTAGCTGTGTAAGCTTGGGCGAGTTATTTAATTACATGCCACAATTTCCTCATCTAAAAAATTGGGTTAAAATTGTATTTCTTAGGGTTGATGTGCAAAATGAGAAGTACCTAGAATAGTGCCTAGCATATTATAAGTACCAAAAAGTGTTAATAATTATCATACTTTTTTTAAGGAGTGAGGGCAGCCAAATCAAGTTTCTCTAGGTTTGTTTCCCATATCACTTTTTTGATGTGTGTGTCTTCTTTTCATTCCCTCCCTCCTACATTATTTGTTGCATATTACTTTCTCCAATCCTAAAGTTTTCCCTACAGAAAGTCTTTTCTTACTGCTCATCGCAGAGAACATAGAAAAACCCAACGAATGAGGCTAAGTCTGACCAAGTCTCTGCTCTCAGCAGCTCAATGAGGACAGCTCCCTACTGAGCAGAGTGTCAAAATCCAGTAAAGAGCAGAGGGAAAGGCTGAGTTTGAGTGGGGTGTACATATGGTGCCTTTCTTGGGATTTGGAGAGAGAAGAGAGTAATCCATACTAAGTCCTGTCCTGTCCTGGGGAGAGCCCCCTGTGCAACTCATAAATTGGCCAAGGATGATATATCTCCATAGATTAGCTGTCCATCAGAGCACCTATCTTCTCCTGTGATTTTGAAATGTCCGACTCTCAAAGGGCTTAAACAAACATTTGCACATAGGACTGATGGGATGAGAATGAATGAAGACATCATCTATTCACCAATTACAGTGGTATTTTATGACACTTCAGAATAACAGCTCTACAGCCTTACAGATTGTTCCCATTATCCTGCAGTATGAGCTACTCCCTGCGGGGGTGGACTTCCAGCAGCTATAAAGCAAATTGAATAGCAGTGTTGGCTATGCTGGAAAGTAATCAGGAAAGTCCTAAAAAACACTGCAACTTTAAGTGCAGATAGAGCAGTAAACTTCATATTGCAACACTTCATAGCTATCCTGGCTGTTTTCCTGTAAGCTTTCATTCCTCTTAATTGATGACATTTTTTGATTCTAAAAAAAGAAAAAAGAGTAGGCTGTCAAAATATGGACTTGTTAATTTCATGGTGCGATCTGCCTTTATAAATTGTTTTCTTTGGCCAGAAATGATATAACAATGACTGTTTTTCCTTAATATGTCACATCAAAGTCTGTCCATGGATCCTTTTAAGAACTTAAATTTGTCAACATTTTATGAGGCCAGTCTTTAACCAATATCACTTTGACTACATTGTGCCAAAGGGTTAATACATTCCCATTATAAAACATCTGAGTGCCACAGAAGTGTGATTTGTACCCAAGAGCCCTAATGCTGCTCCTGGAAAAAGGACAATAAAAATAAAAGCTCACATTTATGTCCAGCTGGTGTGGCTCAGTGGTTGAGCATCAACCTATGAACCAGGAGGTCACAGTTCAATTCCTGGTCAGGGCACATGCCCAGGTTGCAGGCTCAATCCCCAGGAGGGGGTGAGTGGGAGGCAGCCAATCAATGATTCTCTCTCATCATTGATGTTTTTATCTCTCTCCTCTCCCTCTTCCTTCCTCTCTGAAATCAATTTTTTAAATTTTTTTTAAAAGCTAACATTTACTGATGAGCTTACTGTTTGCCGAACACTGAGGTAAGCCCTTACACAGATTATCTTATTCAATCTTCACTATAAAATAAGATATAGATACACTATTGTTAGCCCTGTGGCACAGAGAAAACTGATTTAAATAACTTTCCCAATACCATGAGTTGCAAGTGGTGAAAATAGCATCTAAAGCCAGGTAGCCAGGCTCAGGTGCCCTAGAAATAAGGACCAAGAGTAGCTTTAAATGAAAAAAAATCTATTCACTTTGCAGTTGGGAAAAGTTTTTATTTTATTTTTTTGTTTTTTTTTTAAGTGAGTGAGATAAAAGAAACCAAACTTTCACCACTGATTGTCAAGTGAAGGTTTAATTAACCTGTAGCAAGCGTTTGTGGAGGTAAGAACGCAGCACAAATGATATCATCCCGGTGCTGTATCCCTCCTTCCCATTCCTCCGGGTGGATGAAAAATTGATTGAAGTTCTGAGGTCGAAACACGGTTATAGCCCTAGTAAAAAGGATATACAACTTAGCTGGGGATCTAAAAATAATAGAGTTATTGAGTAGCCATTGTCAATGTGGGCAGTGTGACTTGAGAGGTCTAAAATACTACACTATCCAAAACATAATCCCCACATGAGATCCATTTACTGAACTTCCCATATTAAATTTTCTCTTGGATACTCTCATTAAATTCTCTGGTAAATTATAAATACTTAGTATTAAAAGGTTAATTATCCTTTCACAATCACTAATACCAAACATGTATGCACTTATCAGATTAATTATTCATCACCAGAACCCTACTGCAAGGTTTCCCTGTATGGAGCCACTAAGAGTTTTGTGACTGTGACTATGAAAAAGGGGATGAGTCTGTGAACACATAATATTTTGTAGTTTGAACAAAACTGACAAGATTTCTTTTCATCAGAGCATCCAGGACTTGTTAACATACCCTGAGGCATTTCCCAGACTTACTTGACCACAGAGTCCTTTCACATACAGTGTCATAACGAACTACCAATTGTGGAACACACTTGGAAAATGCCACTCCAAAGGAATGGTACACAGGACAGATACTTTTTGAACAGAAATAATCATTTTAAGAAGATCAGTATCTTGGGGTCCTGATGGTGAATTTGAGGACAGGGTAGGATGGGCAGAGAATGAAATGTCTGGTTCTTGATGGGGAAGTGAGGAGCACAAAAACTAAATTGTGAGGGTATTAATTCTACCCTGTTCTCACTTGATTTGGACTCTGGCTACCAGCCTCTACTAAGCCTCTTCCTCCTTCTAAAGCCACACACAGCTCAATGAGCGTCTGTAACCACAGGCTTGGTGACTTCACTCTCATTCTCTTCATCTCCCAGAGATCTTCCTTCTATTCCTACAGCTCTGAAGGTCTCCCAATTGTCCTGTCATTGTAACTCCTCATTCTCTGATGGATGTGGCTTTCTCCTCCTATAAACTCTTTTGTTTCTAGTATGTCCTGCATCTCTTCTTGCCTCCCTGACTTTCACTCCCTATTCTCTATTTTCCCTTCCTTTTCTCTCTCCTCTTTTAATATGGACATTCCTTATTGATATGTCCTGGGTCTCTTCTTGCCTCCCTGACTTTCACTCCCTATTCTCAATTTTCCCTCCCTTTTTTCTCTCTCCTCTTTTAATATGGACATTCCTTATTGTCATTCTTCCAATCCATCTCTCTACTCAAAAGAGCTTGTTCAGGAATTTTGTAGACCACCATGAGCTCCAATCTCGCTTATAAATGGTTCTTAAAACTCCCTTCATTTATAACTGTTTCCAGTGTTGAATAGTTCTCCCTTGCCAGTTGGCAGTTGCACACAGTGCTCACATTAGCAACATATCAAAAATCCAAAATTTTCATCTACCCTCCACATCAGCCCTCCTTAAATTCCCTATTATGACCATAATTTCAGCCTCCTGCATGTCTTCCTCTTTTTCAGTCAGGTAAAATACTCAGATTCTACCTTTGTGAGATGTTATATATTTACTCTTCCTTTTTACTTGTAACAGCCGATGACAACTTCCTAGTTCAGTGCTCACTACCTCATGGTTGAACAATTGTAACAGTCTTTTAATCACTTTCACTGCCTCTTGTCTACCCATCTCTGGTACACTCTTCATCCTGCTACTAGATGAGGTTTACTGACCTTGGATATGTAAAATGTTGTGTGTCTCCAGATTGGTTGTGTCAGCCATAATTTCATTTCTTCAAATGTTTTCCGCCCCTCACTTTTATTGTTTATATGTTACTTACATCTTGGGTTGCTGTTTATGCCATAAGTCACTAAGGTGTTTTTCAATCTTCAATCACTTTTCTCTCTGTTGTTCAGATTGGATAATTTCTATTGAGCTGTATTCTGTTTTACTGATCCTGTCTTTGCCATCTCTGATCTGCTGTTAAACCTCCCAGTAAATTTTTTGTTTTAGATATTGTGTTTCTTAGTTCTAGAATTTCCATTTCCATTTTATCCTTTTGATAATTTTCCTTCTCTGTTGAGTTACCCCCTTCTATTCTCTCATTATGATAATCTTTTCCTTTAAGACCTTAAATACTTATAAAAACCTGTTTTTATTTATTTGGCAAATTCCAACATCTGAGTCATCTTGAGGTTGGTTTCTACTGATCACTTCTTTTCTTGACCATGAATCATGTTTTCCTGTTTTTTATTGGTTGAGTGATAGCTTCTGATTGTATAATGGACATTATGGCTCATATGTTGTAGAAAATCTGGATTCTGTTTTCTTCTGAAAAGTGTTGGTTTTTGTTCTGCCAGGCATTTAAATTATTGACAGACAACCTTGAGCTTATGGAAGCTTTGTTTACACTTCAGTAGGGAGACTAAATTTTGCCTTTAGTCCTAGGGCAGCTTCCACAGTTACAGGACAGTTGTTTTTTTTTATTACCTCTAAAATGTGGTCTTTCTTCAGTTTTAACTGAAAGCCCAAAGTGTTTACTATGCCATCTAATTCTGTGGAATTCAAACTCCAAGCGCGCGCGCACACACACTCTCTCTCTCTTTTTAATTGCAACAAGTAGCCACTGCAATACCTGTTTGGCTCATTTAGCCTTCTAGTGATTGTTATCCTCTGGTTCCCACACATGGGGTTTTCTCCCTCAGTTTTCAGTTGTTTTGGAAGCAAGGAGCTAGCTCTGTGTTCTGGTGACTCAAGCTAATGGCAGTGCAGCTTTCTGATGGGAGTTCTTGCCACTCCTACTCCTCTTAATGCTGGGAACTGCTCTCTGGGTAAAGGCTGTATAAATGTGGTTCTGTTTATTCAAGGGTTGAACCCATTACACTTTCTGCCTGCTTTTACTGCTCTTCAGTACTGATGTTAAATGAGTGGTATCTATTTTGTTTATATATGGGAGGGATAGTCCAATATAGCTCCTTCACAATTACCTGGTCTGGAATGCCAGCTTTATCTATATATATAAAATGTTAAGTGTCCAACCAGTCGCTATGACCCGCACTGACCACCAGGGGCAGATGCTCAACGCAGGAGCTGCTATGACGTGCACTGGCCATTTACAGAGAAACGGCACTGTGGACCTGGCACCCATGAAGCAACACTTGGCTTCCCCCAAGTGGGACACAGGCCCCGCCACCACCCTGGAGTGACACCCCACCAAATCGCAGCCAACGCTGCCAAGGTTCCATGGTGCAAAATTCGGCCCACAGCCCAGCCTGGAAACGGTGACTGTGGGCGCCGGGTAATGACGTCATGTAGCAACACCCAGCTTCCTCTCCTTAGCGACGACTAGCCTTCTTGGAGTTTCTTCAGCCCAGGAACCTGACCTGCTTTATAGCAGGTGCAAACATTTTACACTTTAGCTAAATGTCTGTGAAGCATTTTCTGGTGCCTCATCTCATTTAATCCTCACAGAAGTCCTGGAGTAGGTAGATAGGAGACTTGGTAGAATACTATTTTCTTTTCATTAGCCAGAAAATGAAGATTTAGAAAGTTTAGAAACTTGACCCGACTGAAAAGAAGTAAGAAATAATGGACCTTGAAAATGACTTCAGGTTTTCTCACGGTGCAGAATATAGTCAAACACTGCTGCAGTTAAGTATTTTACCCTTGGTTCTCCCTGCGTGATCTACAATAATAATCTGCCTCGTGTTGATATTTACTGCTGTGCTGCTGACAATTACCTGAAAGAGAAGTTGGGGTGCTTCACTGGGTTGAAAAAAGTTTAGCTAAATCAGAAAGCAGGTCCAATTAAGCAAGTTTATTTTATATATATAAAAGGCTAAGTTGACTTGGGCATGTGTGATACATACAAAGCTCTCGCTGGCACCAATTGCACATGTGTGTTTTGATCTGTCATTGTCAATCGTGAATTTGGTTGACACTTCTATTATAGAGAAAGGGCGAATAGTGATATTAAAATATTTCTTCTAATTAATTTCCTTTCAATGTGCATGAATCTGTGCACCGGGACACTAGTGATAATATAAATAAGGTAATTTTCAGTTCTGAAATTATAGTTAATATCATTATAGCTCTATATGTATATACTTTTAATGTTCTCTTTAACTGTTGGTTTGATTGAAGAGATTAACCTTCAATGGAGAATGTGAGATAGGAGTGACAGGGAATGGAGAATGTGGGGTGGGAGTGAGAATGGAGAATGTGGGGTGGGAGTGACAGGGAAGAGGTTAATCTTCTAGCTCTTCTATTATCTCTCAGCTAACATTCAATGTCAAATATCTTTTCCCCAAGATACCCATATTAACTAGATGTGGTTAGGGAGTACCACCCAAAGGCACAAAATCCTTTTCATAAGATGGTGCAAAAAGAAGCACTTCTGATATTTGACCTTGTGTGTCAAAATCTCAAGAAACTAATTAGCTGCCACCTTTCCCTTAAAATCTCAACCTGAAATGACAGTTATCCTTAAAATACCTTCAGAATCCACACTGTATTTCTTACTTTGTCCATTTCAAATATAACTTTTGTAAGTTTATACTTTTGCCAAGAGTAAAATTAAAGTACATAATGAGCCAATTTTAAGGCCATTTTCAGAGTCTGAGATTGTTCTTTCTGACATTGAAGGATTTTACTAGCTCCATTTCACAACTCATATCTGAAATCCTGAGAGTACTGTTACTGAGTCATTGTGTCATCTTGTGAAGATGACCATAACTCTAACTCAGAATTTAAATACAATGACCAATTCTGTGAGAAAAAAAATTAGTTTTTCCTGTCAAGTGCAAAAAAATACTAAAAAAAAAATGTTTTAAGAAACAACCTTTTAGGATGAATGAGTTAGGAAAATAGCTTTTACTAAAACTTATCATGTAAAAATTCTTGGAAAGAACAAAAGAACACAATCAACTATGTGTTCCCTTTGAGGTTACTTGTTCATGTGTTGTTAGTCCAATTATAAGAACCTATGTACTGACTTTTAGGTTAAAAAGGGATATCTCAAAGGCAGAGAACTAGTTTACTATATGTCAGTTCATTTTTATCTATTTCC